AAGAGTGTTTGGAGATTTATTACCCGATAGAGTTTTTAAAATATAAAATAAGAAAATAAATAATGAAGTGAATAGTTATTGAATGAATGTGAGAAAAAGAAATTTAAAAAAAAATTCTTAATTTTTCTAAATAATAAAAGATTATAATTATATAACCGAAAATGAAAAACAAAATAGTTATAAAGAAAGATATCCTCATTGTAGAGGTAAATATAATAAAATGAATAAAACGTTTGCGGAGGAATATAATAAAATCAGATTACCCACGGGTAAGTGATGAGTGAAAGTTAAGGATTACACGAATGAAGTGATGCCAAAGTTGATAGTTTTGAAAACATGTGATGATCATTGAAAATTCTGTTGTTGAGCTTATCCTAGACAATTGGTATTGCATTAATTTGTCTACTTCTACAACATATCATCATTGTGAGGAAGACATGATGTTTACAATTTGGAGGAAGCCTCACTCAAACCTAACCACAAAAAATATCTTTATAAAACTTTTTGGCTGTCTAAATCTTCTATAAACCTTTTATCGATGTTTAATTGTTACAAAAAGTTTTATTTGTCCTCGTTTTTATTTTATTTTTTTAGCAATTTTACACCCCATTTTTTTATTGTAACAATTTTACATATCAGAATTTTTTTGAAGCGAATGTTAACACAAAAGTAAGTATGTATTTAAGTGACAATATTTTTTTTTAAAAAAGGACAACTATTGGTTATTAGGCCTTATCTAAATGATTGAGATTAAAATGATAATTGACCATTTCTCTATGGTTAAATGGTTAGCTTGTATTATTTTTATAAAATTACAACTTTTACAAGTGTTGCATTAAAACAATCCATTTTGTGTGCATACATGGAAATGGATTTAACGATAACCAAAGAAAGAAAGAAATTCTGTGATTTTGAAAGTTTTTTGCTGGGTAGAGATGTTTATTAGTTTCTTTGGGCATGCATGTTTCAGTTAACACAAGAAGGAAGAAAATTCGAAAATACTGAACCAATTGTTTCTTTGTTAAAAAGCTACACATAAAGCATGCCATAAAAAAATCCATAATATTCAAGATTGCATGAAAACTAATGTTGGTTCATAAACTCGATATAGCCGCTAACAAAAATAATAATTATATTTTGCGGTGAGCGTGGATCGAACACGCGACCTTCAGATCTTCAGTCTGACGCTCTCCCAACTGAGCTATCCCCGCACTTGAAAGTCTTGTCTATTTCAAGATTATATAATATACTAATTGAAACATTAACATAAACGCAAAATTAATTTCCTCTCATGAGAATCATAAATAAATGAAGTGTTCCACAGTTTCAGAAGCAAGATTATCACAGGGCTATTTTTAAATTCATAAAGAATACAAAATTTTGAAAATAAAGAATCAGTCTTGCCCCAAAATTTACCGTTTTTCAAGAAAAAATATAAAGTTCTTAAAAAAAAAAAAAAAATTATTGTTTCAAACTAAAAAAAACATCACAAAACATTTGTGCCAATCACCATTTTGCGACAGAAAGGCGATTGCTCAACGAAGGCATTGTTTTCCTCGAATCAATTACAAACAAATTCAAAAATAATTGAACGAAATAGAGGGGAGAGAGAAAGTGAGATAATGGGCCGAAAGATTGCACTCACCCAAATTCAGAGCAACACCATAAAGGCTCATTTTTTTTTATAAGTACACCTCCTTTTTTAAAACAATTATAAAATATTATAATTTTTTTTAAAAAAATTTAATTTTATACTTTCAACTTTCAATTTGCTACTTTCTTCTTCTTATTCACACACTTTTTTTTTCTCTTTCAATTTTTACATATTACCAAAATAGGTGAGGTGAAAGAAAAATAAGGGGTGCATGCAAAAATTTGAAAAAAAGAAGAAAGATGTGTGAAAAAAAAATACTAAATTAAATGTTGTGAATGTAAAATTAAAAATATTTTAAAATTTTAATTTTTTTTTAAAAGGAGGTGTACTTATAGAAAAAAGGAGGTGTATATATCATGAACCCACCATGAATTCTTGGAGGCCCACTCACGGATTTGATCTTCATTTGTACTCTTGGAGGCCCAGAGCACAAATCGAAACTCAGGTTCTGTTGTGCGCGTCTAGCGTTTGGGCATCCAAAACTCGAATGGTCCTTTTATAAACACTAGGTTGGGCTCGCGTCTAGGCCTGGTTGTTTTATAAAGGCCCATTTATAATTTACAGCCTTTATTCATATTATTAACTTTTACTTTTAAGTTAAAAATTACCGGGGGAAAAAATTTCACCGTGCATAAGTTTATATAGAAGAATGAATTTAAAAAACAAATATACTGCCATAATTTTTTTTATTTTTATTTTACATCAATATTTTGATCAGAAAATAAGCTAAGTCTAGTCAAAAATAAATATATTACCATATGAAAAGTGACATTAATTGAAATAGCATATTCTGTTTAAGAAATTTAAATTAGTGAAAATATTTATTAAAAATTAATTTATTTTTCTTTACTGTAATTTAAAAAAATTGAAACCTTTAATTTTGGAATTCATGTTTCATCTTCTATCATTCCTTTTGGGAAGCATAGGTTAGTGGAAAGCTGTCCAAGTCCTTACTTTTTTATGTTTTTATGTGTTTGTATAAAAAACATTGAATTAAATTTAAGGAGGTGGATATTGTAGTTTTTATTTATTTATTATTATACAGATTTTTTTTCAGTATATACTTGTCTTTTATTTATATAAACTTGAGATTCAATACATACAATTCTTATACACATTCTAAAAGACTTTGAATTTGCTTTATATATTTGTACAGATTAATATTATTATTATTATGAAAAATAAAATCATTAACATGGTAAAAAAAAAAAAAAAGTAATACACCGAAGCAAATTCAATACAACAATTTATTTAATTATATAATTTAGAATATGTTGAACAATGATCATTGTAAGAGGTTAAATTTGAGTGGATAATTAAAGCATTCCTAAAATTATTGATTGATAGAAGATTATTAGTATTAGCAGGTCCCAGTTTTGGTGTAATAGACAGAATGGCATTTAAGAAATTAAGATGGGGTGAATAACAGCGAAGTATTTGAAATCTCAAAATTATTAAAAATATGTTAAAAGTGAAATGCGGTGAACGTGGATCGAACACGTGACCTTCAGATCTTCAGTCTGACGCTCTCCCAACTGAGCTATCCCCGCAATTGAGAGAAGCTAACGCGATGAAAATTTTGTAGAAAAAAACAAATGGATCTCGCTTTATTTCTTTAAGATTATTTTAGAGTCTATTAAGAATATTTAAGTAAAATACAGCGTAAATGACAGGTTGCGGGGATAGCTCAGTTGGGAGAGCGTCAGACTGAAGATCTGAAGGTCACGTGTTCGATCCACGTTCACCGCATTTAATTTAATGATTTTGTGATTCCAAATGGGTGTTAGCAATCTTCATAAACAAATAGTAGGAAATCCTCCTTTATGTCACTCTTTCACTTTTGTTTGTCCTCGTTTTACTGAGTTCTGTATTAACCCTTCGTTGTATGTTTGTATTTTAATAAATAAGCATTTGGTTTTGCTGGAGTGAGTTACAAGTTTGGTTACTGACAAATACAGAAAGTGGTCATTGTCTTGAGAGTATCATTCCCTCAGAATAAGGGAATACCATTCCTGGAAACATCAGTTCAGTAGCCATTAGACTCTCGGTATTTTCTTGAGATAAGAAAAACATTATTTGCTACCATCACTGCACTGCCGTCACTCACTACAACAATCAGGACCACCACCACCACCACCAATTCCACTTTTGGAATCATTCTTTTCCTCAACTTACCAAACATGATAAGAGGAGTGAGAATTCCATTTCATTTCTTTCCATTACTGTTCCCATCAAAACCATTCCATTGATCCAAAAGGTAGCTAAATGGTTCGCATATAAATCCACAGGATACTATGTCCACACTAGGGTTGTCAATGTCATGAAAGAGCTGCTACTGTTTTATGGTTGGAAATGTTATCCTTATCCAATAGTATGCAATATGTGTTCTCCTTGGTTGATTACCCTATAGATGTAAGTTACCCCGGCAGTTAAACAAAATTTGAGAAATCAGAACTTTAGTTATGCTAGAAATTGAATTTATATATTATGAAATCCTGCTTAAGTTTCATGTAGCACTAGTTCTTCCATGAAATGTTGTGTTCTTTTGGGAATTTATATTATAAGAGGTTATACAAGATGGACTTTTGCGTGGTATTTGTCCAAATTCTTAGATAATTTGCTGCGTGTAATTATGCTTACTCTTTATTATGTCGCTACTAAGTATAAATTATGCTTTATGTCCTCTTGATAGGAGTTTGCCTGCTAATTATCTTCAAGAAGTGATATAATGATAGACTTTGGGAGGTAAAACACAAGAGATCCTCGATTGATGTCTCTGGTTTCACATTCAGTGCCTTATCTGGTTGCTAATAGATGATGAAAGCTTTTTCTTCTTTTTTCCTTTTTCAGAATAAGATGACACCGAGGACTATAGTAGTGTTTCAAGCTGTCTCCATTGTATAAAAGCATCTGTTACACTATAGATTCTTGTACTTGATTGATTGATCTCTTCACATTTTATACCCTTGTAAAGAGTGATTTGTGAGTGGTAATATAATTTTAAACTTCCCTTGAAGGGGAGTGTTGTGATATAAGTTGCTTCAAAACTGATTTTTGTATTGTAGTATAGTATATACCTTCAATCATCACATATTTCTCAAAAAAAATTTCACGTTTTTTCATACGTATTTATTTCCTTTAAAATGAATCCATTCGGAATCGGAGGCTCATTTACTCATGAAGCTAAAGAATAAATGGTAGCAGAATTCAAACTACGACATGCAGTATTCCTCTCTCAGTGTGCGTAGTTACAAAAGTATAAGATATATATACTTTTATCTCTTAATATTTATAAGAGTATAACAGTGTAATTATCTTTCCTTTTCTTTCTAACCAAACCTATGAAACTCTTTCCTCTCTTTTGAGCCAAACGTATACCTCCGAAGCCCCTCTTGCCTTTCTTTAATTAAACACAGTGAAAATAGAAGCAATCTTACATTAGCCATCACAGTATTTCAGATTTATTCTTATTCTTTTAACGTCTTTCCTCTTTCTTTTTTATGCATTAGCTTCTTTTGTATTTGTGGGACTCATAATTGTGCACTATTGTTATTATTGCATTAGCTGATGTAAAACTGATTGCTATTGGAATTTCATCATTTAAAAAGAGTGGTGCACCTGTGATTAAATAAAGTGCAAGTGTTATCTAGCAATTATGAAAAAAATTAAGGATAACTTTTTTCTTATCTAGATATATTACATACTAAAGTGGGTCCATACGGGCTCTAACAACAACCATTCAAAATATCCATCGTTTGCATGGAATTACCATGGTGTCATTCTGCAAGAAAAAATGAAGCAGCAAGTGCAACTAAATCCAGTATTTTAGGATGGATTGTGTTACCTTTTCCCTTTCTAGGAGTAAATTAATTCAAGAGTTTTATTTTTTATACATTATCAATGTAAAGATTTTTGCTATATCAATCAAATAAAAATCATCTTAAAAACTATTTTTACAGTAATAATTAAAAAAAAAACTATAATTTTCAAATCTATGAAAATCCATAATTAAGTAAAAGTATTAAAAAAATTATTTCAATTAATTTCTTCTTTTATACTACACAAGAGTTTCCATCTTATAATCTGGAATTTTGATATTGTTCTCAATAACATTGTAAGAATGAGAGTAGGTACGTACAGTCCTAGCTCCTTTTATGGTTGTGACTGGACTCAGTCCAACCAATAGGTAGCCCAAACACTTGAACAGGTGAAAATAGCCCAAACCTTCATCTTATATAAGCTAAGTTAACAATCATAAGATGTAGAGGATAATATTAAGAAATATAATGAATAAAATACACAAAAATTAAACAATAATAGTTTTAATATATTTTTTGAGGTTATCTTGGAAGTTGTGTTTCTTAATTTCATTTTATGTATTTATCATCTTTTTGTATATATATAAATACAGAAAATCAATATTGTAAAATTGTGTCTTTATTATCACTATTGAGCTTAATGTTTGAGAGCTAGTTAGGAAAACAGAAAGAAATACTAACGTCCTTGGAAATGACATACTATTTGATAATCAGCATTAAAATAATACCTATATAATTATTAATATAATGAGAAGAAAAAAAAAAAGAGCAAAATAGCCAAGTATATATTCTCTGAAACTTTATTTATAGAATTTGCATTTCTTATTTTTAACTTTTTGTTATACAATAGTAGCAACAAGATTTGAACCTCTATGATTAAGCCGGCCTTAATGGTTAATTTTTATCATATTATCACGTCATCTTTTATTAAATGGTAATCTTAAGATTTAATAATCAAAAAATTATTAGACATGTGTTAAATATTAAATGAAAGAAAAACAGTAAGAGCAAAATTTTTAATTTATGTTTTAGAATAAACAATAATAACCCACACTATTTCATGGGAATAAAAAAAAGTGGAAGAAAAGGGTGAAGAAACTTTTGGTCCACTATGTGCAATTCAATCGTTCTTCCTCTGGCACATCAGAATTTCATAACACGCCATCTGATCGATACTATATTAACTCTTTAGGTCAGCCTAACGTTCAAAGTGCAAGAAACATGCGTTTTTTTTTTTTTACATATATAAACATAATCCTTATTAAGTATAGAAATGGTAAATATACCCGTACCCGCGGATAATATCCGAACCTGTCTCGACTTTGATGGGAAATACTCAATTTGACCGGGTATGAGTACGAGTACGGGTACGAGTAAAATTCGATATATTAAATCGGGTACAGGTATGTACTTACCCGTCCCGTACCTGTACCTGTACCCGTCCCTGTTCCAATTTTTAATTTAATATCCACTTCTAATTTAATTATATTAAATAATTTTAATATTTTTTCAATATATAATTATTTATTATAATATAAAATAGAGAAATAACCTAATTATAATTATAATATAATTAAAAAAATAATTTAAAAATATTATATTTATAAAAAAAAATTAAAAAAATAAAAAATTTGATAGGTATGAGTACGGGTACGGGTATACCCGATATCCGATGGAGACGGAGATGGGGATGAAAATCACATACGATAAGTACGAATACGAGAATGGGGATAGGTTTGGCTCGTAAGAACTGGAACGAGTATCATGAAACCTGTACCCGCGCGGCCTTGTTACCATCCCTAATTACGTAATCAAAGACTAGACTAATTTATATTGCAAAATGTAACTTAAGAACATGAAGAGATAATCATTGACCAATAAATTCAGATAATTATCAGGTACTTCCTATTTTTCTGAACGTTACTAAAGCGAATATATATTCACTGTTAGGTAGTTTTTGTTTCTATGGATTTACTGTTCACGAGCAAAGAAAGGCGAAGAAACTTGTTGTTCGTTTCCGGTGATTTGCGACGACGAAAAAACGAAGAAAAGGGAGGAGAAGCGTGATTCTCGTCCTCGCACAAAAACGAAGAAAACAGAAGAAAGCCACGTAGGATTTATAAAAACCCGAAAATACCCCTTCGCATGCATGCGTAGTGTGTCATGCAGTAGAGGAAGCATATACAAAGGAAGCATAATCGATTATGCAAGGCTACATAATCGATTATGCAAGGCCATAATCGATTATGTAGTCTTGCATAATCGATTATGTTTGGCCACATAATCGAATATGGTGTATATATATAAAT